ATACACTTTTGTGAGTTCACGGAGAGAGATGCGCATTATGTAAACATCGCTATCATGAAAATAACGAAATTTGCTGATTTCTGTACATCGAATAATAGTGAAAAATTAAGCAGCTAAAACAAATTGTACGCTTTTACGCCATCGGAAATTTCGCTTTGTTTCGTTACATTTAGATTTACACTGAGAATTTCTGAAGACTCCTTGCTTTGTTTTCGTCTTGACAGAATGTCACGAATAAAAAACACAGCTTTTTCAAAATTTCAGAGATAAGTAATCAAATCTGGAGGAAAAGTATTATACATAAGCCGTTAGAAAGTTAGAAATTTAACACCTTACTCAAAAATTTCACCTTCATAAAAATACTAAGTCCAAGTGTAATACAACTATTTCTTCGCCATTGGGAACTGGACTGGCTATCAAAAAGAACTTAAGATCATAAATTATAAGTAAATACGCATTTTTTTCCCTTAAGTTTTAAGTCAGCTTTTCATTTTAAAATTTTAAGAAAATTGAAACAATCATTTAAAAGGAGATAAATCAAACTAAATTTTCCAAAATATGAGCTCCTTTCTAGAAAAACCAGCTGCTATCGTTTAAAAAAGGGCGCGCACGTACACACGAAATGAAGTACTCAGAAAAAGCCCTTTTCTGATGAAAAATACTCACCGTCAGACTGAAGTGATGAAAATTCAAACTTGCCGAAAAAAGCTTCAACGACTTAAACTTGTCGGTGTCCAAGAGTTTACAAAGATATTTTCCATTTAACTGAGGAACTTTTTTGAAATTCAACGATCGACAACCAGGGTTCTCTGTACATGCTTGAAGGCATTCTTGTTCTCCATCAACGAAGATAGATTCAAATGGTGTCGCATTCAGTTGATAATTAGGAAACGAGAAGAGATTTGCGTAACTTATGACTCCGTTAGAAACATCGACAGAGCTTTTGTATTCGGTAGATTTTGCTTCTGTAAACTGAAATAAGAAACTAGAAACAAAAACTATGAAATACAGCTGAAAAGGCATGTTTTTCCGTTCGGTTGAGTTGTTCGATTCAGAGATATGAAATTAAATTAATTAGTCAGTGCCGTTTCAGTGGAGAGCATAAGTTAATTAAGTTACCCTGAAAACAACTGCATGTTGTAGTTGAGCATTATGATAATTTTTCAATGCTTACAAAGGCTAAAGCTAAAATCAAATGAGGTTGGAGGCTTTGAGAAAGTAATAAACACCGATTCGCCGCCGTTAGAGGATTGGAAATTTTTTGCAGAATTTTCCAAGACCCTTTAAGAGTTCACACAAGTCTTTGTAAAGACAGAGGAAGGCCTCTGATAGTTTCTCAAGATAGTTTTCAATAGTAAACACGGGGCTTAAAACGTCACATTATGTTAAACAAAATATAATTCAATTACACTCATCGACCAATAAGGAGGCGTGTAATAATATAAATATTTTAGAAGAATAAGAAAGTGTTATATTATTTATAAGAACGTATTGGGTTCTAAGTTAATTAAGTCAGTCATTAAGGCTCCCGCCTACATAGGGCACGTACACAACTGGTGATAATTCTTATGCATTTGGCGTGGGTCGGCGGGAAAGTATCTGCAGGTTTCAACATCCGTTGTAGTTCTGAATGATTAAGACTTCTTATGCTTATGTTTTCCTCTGTAATGTAGTCACTTCTCATGAATGAACTCGACCACAGGCCTACTTAGCTAAGAAGATTTATCATTGAACTCATATATGTCATATATGTTAGAAGGGTAAGTTTCATAAGAAAGTGTGGTGCTGCGTCGATGGGGTAATAAGGTAATTTGGTAGTATGCACTAAGTTAAAATTGTAAATTGGCCACCGTTAAGAGTTAAAAAGCTGACGTTTCAAGCGTTAGCCCTTCGCCAGAACGAATATATATCAGCCCTGCGTCAGAGCAAATAGATGTTACCTTTTAATTGATCAAATTTGACGATTTTTATGTCAGCTAATTTATATTTATTTTCTGAATGAAGTTCAACTTTGTCCACTCTTTTTTAAACTTCGATATTGTACCGATCGTTGTAAAAAATCCTTCATTATGGCTTCATTTAGAAATTTGCAATTCTCATTTGATATTTCAAAGCATTACCAGTGAAATTCAGTCTAACGACTGCGATATTGGTTTTTCAATGAACTATTATAATTATTATTATTACAGTCTCCAAAAAATCAATGGACCTAGAGTTTCAGCGTCTTAGTCTAGTTTTATGTGTTAAGCCTACTTGTAACTATTGTTATGAAGTGGAATTCTTGTTATTTTATTGATTAAAAGCAGTTTTAAAATTAAGCATTTTTGTTGTTCATGTCCTATTGTTTCACTTAAGTGCATGCTTGCCTTATAATTGCGACGGGTGGGTATTTTATTACGAAAAGGATCGGTTTTACTTGAAACATCCTCTGAATATCGAAACTAACGCCCAGACTTTTTTCTTTATCAATATGTATCTTTCCAAAGGTTGACGTGTAGCTGTTATTTGTTTTAGCTGACTTAATACATCTCTTTTATCAACCAGAAAAATGATGATCTGAAATTGGGCCTTTTTATACCACGGTGGGTCAAATTTTTACATTTAAAATCATACTTTTCCGGCTAAAACACCACTTGGCAACATGTAAATTTGTCTGATCACCAAATATCAAGGGTGTCTGTGTAAGTGCTGGTAAATTAAAAGATCCTTTGTAGGCTCATTAACAATTAAATTATGAGCTCGAAATTTCTATCGCGCGACAGTTACTGAGGGCGAAGGCCGAGTCCAATGTACAAAATGTCATGCATAAAAATCAAGAGCCAAATTCAAAGTGTTTCAGTATGAATCCACCTGACAGCCTCATGTTTTTATACTATTTTGTTTACAACTACTCAATGTTACAAGCTATTTACTTTAGTTTGTCTTACGGGAAAGAGAGTGAGTAACCTAGCCAATCAGAGTGCAGCATTTCTCTTCTAACCTGTAACCAACCCTCTTCCTATTTTATCTCATTTTCCCGCGAGTTCTACTTTTGTCAGCGGTTAACTTCATCTCGATCATGTGATCAATGCCCGCCAAAACAGAATCGAGCTGCAAAGGGGAATCTAGTGACCGAAAACATTGTGTTTTATCCTTTTATACTATATTTTACGACCTTTTATGAGAGAAAGTTCGCTTTTCTGAGTATTAAGGTAAGTAAAGATGTTTTCTGCATAGGATATGAAGTGAAACAACAGCAGGATCATGCAAATGATTTAGTAAACAGGTCTTGGGTTCCTGTCTATCATTCACTCCTCCAGACAAAACAGCTCTGAAGGTATCTTCAAACTGTGCTTCCACGCATGTTTTGACCTTCTTTAAACTCCCTGAAGTGTATCTTCGTGTTAAGTAATGTTGTTATTTTATAATCGTCCTCCAGATCGTCTTTAAATGCATTTGAACCGGCTTAAAATCACCGCGTACAAATCGAGTTCAAAATATCTTGGCTTACCTACATAAATTGAAACTTCGATCGATTATGCTTGCATGCTTTAAATTACACTTGACGTACTCTGCCGCAACATCGAACTGTAATATGTTAATGGAATTTTATTTGTGGTTTTTGATAAGCATAATATAATATATTCTTTCTTAACGAACGACTGAATCAACAAGTTGTACGTTGTTCAAATCAGTCATAATTGTGTTTTCTGAATCGGAGACTCTCTACAACTATAGTTCTGACACCTTTCAATTGAAAACCTATTTCCCAATCAACTCCATCACATCAGTCAATCAAATCAAATTTCTCACACACATCTAGATCTAATTAAAATTTTTTTGTAACCCTTAAACTGCCACTCTCATTCGTGATTGACATGTAACTTTCTCTGTGTAATATCTATTTTATCATCTAACAAAAAGGTAATGAGAATACTCAAACTTATCAGGTGGAAGTTGTTATTCTGATCTAACACATAATTATTGTGACTAACAAGGAAAAATGTAGCAGTTAGAGAGGAGAATTAACAATTGGATTTGGGAGTTGATGTTTTAAAATTATCAAAACAATTATCTGACAAGCTTTGTAGAGTACACAGTCAATTTCCAAGATCTACCCTTAGAAGTTGATTTTCCTGATTTAATAACTTTTTTTTAGCTTTAATTGGCAAATAAAGATTATTTTTACTTAAAAAATCTAAATTTGAACTATTTAGTGAATTGTTTATCATACAAAAAATTTGAATCATGAAGTGAATTGTTTATCATACAAACAATTGTCAAAAGCAAATGATGCAAAGCAGGAGTCAGAAATCATGAGTACAATTACAGATAGATTTAAAGGACACAAAAGCCTGTTACAAATTATTAAAAACCATAACAAAATTAGAGTAACAAAACACCCATCACCAATACATACAGGAATTGAGAGATAAAAAGATAAAAGTTTGTTTCTCCACTTTTTTTATTATGTATAAGAGAAGGTGGTTGAACCTTCAGACTTTAACTATCAAGATCTGATCGCTAATTGTCCCCTCTAGCTGCTGCACATTTCCTTGTAAATTAGTTACATTAATTTGGAGTTAAATCAAGATATCAATCTCTACCTGATAAGTTTGAGTATTCCCATCACCTGTCTGTTGGATTATGCATGGATATTATAGGGAAGAGTTACTTGTTAATCACTTCTTCCTGTTGAAGGGTTAATTTTTGTCATGTATGATCCTGTTTTGGTTGCAATTTGCCCCAATGATGTGTACAAATGCTTGTCAAAAGTAAATGATGTAAAACAGTAGTCATTTATGACAGTGGTTTTATTAAGGACTGGGCACCACATAAATTGACCGGTTGTTAGGATGGATTTTCCCACCTGGTTTAACGATTTGGAGAATAGTTTATCTTATAAAGAAGTTCAGTTCAAAAAATTTTGCCTGTCTGTGAAAACCAGTTGCCTTCCTGCTGAAAACATTAATGAATTACCCCTAGAAATGTAAATCACATGCATAGTCACAAATAGATTTGAAAAAAGTCAAAGTCCCGTGACAAGTTAATCAAAACTTTTACAAAAAATTTGAGAAACAAAACATTGAGCATTTGGGTAATCCTGAATCTTTGTCATGAGAAACCCTGTGTCTCTTGCAGTTAGTCTAAGCAATGTCTACAATACAGCCAGATGAAGATGATGTCAGTGGCAGCAGTGCTGCTCCAAGTCCAGTTGTGAACAGCACACCATCTCCTTTAAAGACTAAGGTATATACTGAAGAATTAGAAAAAAAGAAAGGGTATTGTACACGTAACTATGAAATGTTAAAGTTAGTATGATCATGGCCCAATAAAAATACTTAGTTTTCACAGGTTATCTCATAGTGTAATATTTAGACTGTGAGGCTGTAAATTTTTAAGTATACTTTTTGTAACCCTTTACACCATTAGATCAGTTTGCATGTTCTCTTTACTCTTCTCTATACATTTCTTGTCACACCTACAAGGAGACTTTGTTTAACAGCCTCTTGAGTTTGTGATCATTTCCTAAATTCCCGCAAGCTGAATGTTTGATCAAAGGGCGATACTGTGGGAAAAAATAATTAGATGCTACATCTTCTTAAAGAGCCAAAGGGTTAATAGCTAAGATAGAAATTATAATGGTTTCTAGGGTAGGGTTTTTCTAAAAACAGAATCAACATTATTTTTGTTTCTTCAGAAGGAAGAGTCACCAAGACGCAGTGGCAGGAAGGTCAGGCAGAGAATCTTATATGGTCATCAGTCTCAGCTCAGTGGAGCACAAGGCACACCACAGCAGCCGAGAGCCAAGAAGACAAAAGTGACACCAGAGAGTGGTTCAGATGACGAAGAAGAAGGAAATGAAGAAGCTGGGTACTTAACGGCACA